ATGAAATAAAATTATATGAAAAAAAAAAAAAAAACTCAATCGCATTCCTCGGGCCAAAAGACACATGTGACAAGACGCGAAATCGCGGCTCGGCACAGCCTTCCGGCTGCGCGACAGAGAAAACAAACGACGGTTCTCCGTCCACGCCCGTCGCCACCGTTACGTCGCGCAACTTTTTTCTTGGTGGTCAGTCTATTTTTTTGCTTTGTTTTTTTTTTTTTTGTTATTCTCGTTGTCGACACCTTTGTGTTTTTGGGCCTGCTGTCGTCCTCGTCGCCTCCGGCACACCCTGCTGCGCAGCGCGGAGGACGGGATCGCGCACCCACCACGGACCCGTTCGCAAGCTATTACAGGCGGCGATGCGCACCCCATCAACGACCACCTTTCCGAGTCGCTCCGCGCCACAACCGGAACACACCTCCCGCCACGAGCACAAGTGCGCCGTGCGGGAGGGGAAGAGGGGGGCTGGGCTAGGGGGGGGAGGGGGGGGATCCCGACCATGAGGACGCTTGGTGGCCCTACAAGAACGCCATGCGCCGCCGCAACCCGCGCAGTCACGACATCATACTGGTTCACTACTGCGGGCCAAAGAAAGGTGACATGTCGTCGTTTGCGCCACCGTTGCCACGCAGTAGTGAACTACATTGCTGGGAACTTAAGAGCACAATTTTTTCAACACACACTTGTTGGAAATGTGTTGGAAACATGTTGGACCAATGTTGAATGCATGTTGAAAACATGTTGGCCGCATGTTGGTAAACGGTTGAAAACATGGACCCGACCCTCCTAAACGGTTGGACACATCATTTCATGGAGTTCCAATGCTGGTCCAGTGTTGGGCCAAAGTTGAAAACTTGATGAAATTTTGCCACAATTTTTCTGTTGGACAGACAGACAGGCAGACACAGACAGACAGACAAACAGACATTCATATAGACAGACAGACAGACAGACATTCATACAGACAGACAGACAGAGACACAGAGACATAGAGACGTACAGACATACAGACAAACAGACAAGCAGACACAGACAGACAGACAGAGACACACAGACAGAGACACAGAGACATACAGACAAACAAACAAACAGACAGACAGACAGACACAGACAGACAGACAGACAGACATACAGACAGACTCTCAGAGATTATAGAACTATAATCACTTAGCAGAGATTATAGAACTATAATCACTTAGCAGAAACAGTACTGCTCGGTGGTTATAGGACTATAAGAGTTCAGGGGAATGAGGATACGCACCCTGCAATATTTTTTTGCTCGCTGCTGCCAGCCTCTTGTTCTCAATCTGGAATTTGTTGGGCACCATTTTCTTCGAGGCAAGAAGGAAGCTGAGAAGCGTTTTGCCTGTTAAAACCCACAATTCGGCGAACGATTTCTTTTCTTCCATCACCCAACTTGCAAAAATGATCTCGCCATAACATCTGTAGTGCTTCTCCGTTTGCGCGTACAGCTTCACTCCGGCAGCTGTGAGGCAAACAGCTCACAAGAATGGAAGAAGTTCCTTGGTTTGTTTCGCCGACATAAGAATGTTATGCACCCAACTGTCCTTTTTCCTCCTCTTCCGTGCCCTGCCTGCGTCTTAAACATCCTCGTCTTCCTCTTCATCCTCATCTTCCTCATCTTCCTCTTCTTCCTCTTCATCCTCTTCTTCCTCTTCTTCCTCTTCTTCCTCTTCCTCATCTTCTTCTTCTTCTTCTTCCTTCTCCTCGTCTTCGTCTCCCCCCACGTCCTCTACTCCCATCGGGTTCTCCTCGTCYTCCTCATCTTCGTCGTATTCCTGTCCGCTGAGCTCCTCTTCGACCTCTGCTTGTTCTTCGGGGTCCTTGTCGAGTGCATGCGCTGCTGGCCCCTCCTCTCGAAAGTTCGATCTTGGGCGTTCGGCAATGCTGCGTGCTTTGCTTCCGCCCGAGGACGCGGTCAGGTCCGGAACAGACTTTGTCGGTCTGTTTTTCATGTTGAGCCTGCAAACAAAGAAGGCAATGACGACGAACAAGCAGGAGGTTTAGGGCTACAAGAAGAAAAAGAGAAATAGGCTGGGGTGAGGAGGAGGAGGTATAGGGCTTTAAGAAGAACAATAAGATGAATACAAATAAGAAACAGCTCGCCTGCCCCACCGCCCCACGCAAAAAAGAAACGAAACAGATCAACTTTTTTTCATTGATTGATTGATTGATTGATTGATTGGTGGGGGCGGGGTCGCCCCGCCCCACCTTTGATTGATTGATTGATTGATTTATCTTTTTCTTCGATTTTGCTTTTTTCTCTTTTTTTTGTTGATTGATTGATTGATTGATTGATTGATTGTGTGTGTGTGTGTGTGTGTGTGTGTGTGCGCGCGTGTGTGTGTGTGTGTGCGGAGGGCGATGGCGGTGGCGGGCGGTGGTGGCGATGGGCGACGGCGATGGCGGTGGCGGGCGGCGGTGGCGATGGCCGGCAGCGATGGCGATGGCGATGGCGGTGGCGGTGGTGGTGGCGACGGCGGTGGCGGCCGACGATGGCGATGGCGGTGGCGGTGG